GTTTTAGAGTTCGAATCAATTTGAATATGTTTTATTTATTTTTACTTTTTACCGTAAGACGGAGCTGTATGTAGTTAGTTCACGAAATGACAGTTGCTTTTGCATTTATATAGACGTTGAACGTTGATTGGATAATTCTTAGGTATTACATTGTAATCGAACCAAAAGTTAGAGTCTAAGTCTAAATAATGCGTTGATTGATATCGGTTCTGCAGTATTCATATCTGGTCAAGCTTACGTAGGATTTTCGAGAGTTAAAAATCTTGGCGGCTTACATTTAATTAATCTCGACCTCAATTTGTGAATATAAATAGACTTAGAAGCAATTATCGTTCGGACTTGACATAGCTTTTAACATCAAAGCCTCCGAGAAAAACCCATAGATACAGGGAGTGGGCTTTGAGAAAAGCTGTAGCTGAAGCTCAGGAAGTAGTACCGGAAAAGTAAAAGAGGAACCTACAAAAATAAAAAAGGTCACAAGACAGCTCATCAGAAGACTTGTTGGTATTCAAGAAGTAAAAGGTACCTGAAAGAAATAAGTCGGGCTATCTACAAAACGAAATGAGATGCCATCAATAAACATAACTTGTAAAAAAAAACAAGTGTCGCAACTCAGTTCTACTTCTACTACCGTCAAAAGTTGTGAGATCCATGTTATGCCAAGTCGGTTGCCAGTAATTTATTCAGTCCCTACTTAAGGAACCTTTTGTCTTTAGTTATTACGAAATTAGCTCACCTAACAACATCTTATACTGACCATATCAATATTGAAAATATTGTATGTTTTAAATAAATAAATTTACTTGGCAATCGCACTCAACAATCTAATTTAATATAATATGGGAGATACATTGTGTTTTCATGCGATTGACTTGGTTTTTTACAAGTTATGATTTTGATGGCATACGCATTTAGTACATACGTACTGAGCTCAACAGCCCAGGTGGTTAGCGCGTTCGGCTTGCGATCGTGGAAGTTAAGCAACTTTGGCAATGGTCGGTAATTTGATGGGTTACAAAAAAACTTATTATCTCGAGCTCCTGTCGAAGCCTGTGCTCTGCCCCTTCAGTGGGGATATTAATAGGCTAATACTGATAATGTATTGAGTATATTATTTGGAAAAGAAATCAAGAATGATCTCCTCTGCCCCACAATATAAGTTAAATATATAGCATTTCAGACCATTTCAAGGAATTTAACGTTATGTGTTTGTTCCAAAGCTTGACAAATTTTTCTTTTTTTTTTAAATTTGAATAAATATTTTATCCAAAACCATTACTATTTCAAAAAATCAACCCCGTGCATATACGTACTACAATAATATAGTCTATTGAAATAATAAAAGAGATGTTTTGATATCGGGATCGCCTATATAGGATTTCGTATCTCAAAAGGAAAAAACGAACCCTTATAGGATCACTTTGATGTCCGTCCGTACGTCCGTTCGTCTGTCAAGACCATTTTCGCAGTATCAAACTGAAATTCAAATCTAATACTCAGGTCTACTGACCCTTGGAGCTGTGAAAAAAATCAAACTTCTAAGCCAAAGCAATCAAAAGATACAGCCGTTTATGCCGCAAATTTCCGCAAATTTTCGAAACTCGCACGAGAATCAAAACCTACAGGGTACTTCCCGTGAACTTTAGATTAAGATAAGTCTAAGCTAAATTGTTTGGAAGAATTTCTCGAAAGGTAGCGGTACATTTCACGTCACACGGCACACGTCTTACCATGCAACTCCTCGGTGTTACGAAGAGAAGCCATTATTATTCGCTAAAAATATGTTAATTGGACGGTATGAGAACGGAAAAAAGTGTTATTTCAGATGAAACAAAAATAAATATGGTAAATTCCGATGGAAAGCGAAAATCAAAATTATAAATACACAAGGAGTATATGTAGTCAAGCAAGATGACATTAAAGTTTGTGGGGTGTTTTTCGGATGTGGAGTTGGATCCGTTCGGAAGATTGAAGATACAATGGATCAATGGCATTACAAAAATGTCTTAGAGCACACAATGATTCCCTACTTGGACGATCAATTGCCTGTCACCTGGATCTTTCAGCATGACAATTAGAAACCCTACCAATGGTCCTTGACATTATGTAAGATACTTCGCCGCAATCGTTTTTATTTTTCAACGATTTATCATTGATTAGAAAAACAATATAAATCCTATTACACAAGTGCAGTTTCAGTATAACATTACGGACAAACATTTAAAATAGTTTTAAGGTATGAACAATAATTGTCAACTAATTAGAAACAACAATAAAAAAGAATATTCTAGAATAAATCAAATGGTCCCAATAATTGGCCCCAATTCTTAAAGTTTGTTTGTTTAAACCTTTGTTTCTTAATTATGTTTTTATTTAAATAAACTTTTTGATCAGGCGAAGTTTTTTTTCACATAAGTTTAATATGAGTATTTATCGAATTTATAGTTTTAAATGGAGCTGATTACGAAAACAACATTTTTCTCGAGATCCAAGAATATGATTAATGTTACAGATTTTGCGACTATGCAGTCCTAATGGCACTGTAGGCACGGAAACTTAAAAGATAGATTTTGTGACTCGCCAACACCTTAAAGTACTTATCTGTATTAACGAGACAGCTTCCATAGAGCTCCAAGTTTCTGGAAATTGAATGTCCTTAAGTTGTAAATATATGTCGGCCCAGATGAATAGTAATAAGGTACCACTTTTGTGGATTACAATAAAATACGCTACTACATATAAAAGAAACTGTGTTTTAAAAACTCTAGTAAAAAAATAAATTAATATAAGTTATGGCGAAAACATTATTTGATTTGTCTAAAAAACCTAAAATTCTCTTTAATACAGAACCTTAACAATATAAGTTTTTATCTCCTGGACTATAGAGAAATACAAATTGCAAAATCCATGAACAAACGTTCGTGTGTATATCGTAAACGTTGTTTTTTTTCACGCCACGATAATAATCAGGGTGCAACTAAATAAAATGTAGGGCCTCGTGTTTCCTCTTAATTTGACATTTGAAAAAGTTCGTGCATTTTCCTCTTAATTTGACATTTGAAAAAGTTTGTTAATTAAAAGGTAATAAAAGTCACTCGATGTGGGCAGCTGACCTGATAATTAATTACTTAATTTGATTTATTTTCTTCTAACTATATGCTATTTACATCAATGGTGTCGATTCCGGCATGATTCTCTAAACCTAAACTTGACAACAGTGTATCCTTGTCATTTTCTATGCAGAATGAAAAGGAGAGATTGATGTTAAATTTAGTTTTAAGTTTAAAGAATCATGCCAGAATCGACACCACTGTATTGCCAATAAACAAACAAAAAAAAATAGTAAGTTAATTATGGTGTCGATTCCGGCATAATTCTTTCTCTAAAGCTTAAATTTTTGATAACGTAGGTGTCGATTCTAGCGTGATTCTCCAAACTTAAAACTAAATTTAACATCAGTCTCTCCTTTTCATTCTGTATAGAGAATGACAAGGATGCACTGTTGTCAAATTTAAGTTTAGCTTTAGAGAATTATGCCAGAAACGACATCAATGTATCCTTATCTTTCTCTATACAGAATGAAAAGGAGTGACTAATATTAAATTTAGTTAAGAGAATTATGCATGCCAGAATCGACACTTTATTATTGTTTATAATTTTTATGTGGCTATTTACCGGCATCGATATAAAGTACTTTTAAAACATATTATCGTATTTCAACGTCGAAAGAAAGATTTTGGTGTCGAATATGGAAGCGTTCTCTAAACTTAAATTTGACAAGTATATCCTTGTCATCCTCTATACAGAATGAAAAGGAGATACTAATATTAAATTTAGTTTTAAGCTTAGAGAACCAGGCAAGAATCGACACCTTTGTTTGGTTAAGTTATAGATCGTGAATGATCGAATATTTGTTTTTTTTTATAAGATCTGTCGATGTATATTTGTTTTATCAACATGCTATTTGTATCGACAAATACACTATTAAATCTGGTTGAATATTTTCCAGTATAAAAATACCATTCATTCATTTCATTCTTTTTTCGTCACATCACTATGAATTTCTACCTATTATTTTTGTCATTCATTCGTGATTTCGCGCCTTTTCTTTTAATTGAATTTTATACCAGAATACTAACTTTTTAGAACCTAAAAATACTTGTATATGATAGAAAACACCATGTTTCAGGAAGATTGAAGTGGCAGATCGGTTTTGCGTGGGAAAACAACATCATTTTCCATTTTTGTGGGAGCTCCGACTCACGCTGCGGAACGATCTAAAGTGGTAGCGGTCTCGCGTGAACTAGTTTTATATAACGATCCATGGCCACTGGCCATGATCGTTTTGGCGGAGGGGTACGCCCGTCCATGCTCTCTCCAGGTATAAATGCTCTAAGATTCAGGACGATACAAAATTGTTAAATGGTCATTTTGACACTTATGGGTTAAATCTAGTTTTAGTTAAATCGAGATTTTGCAAATTTGCCCTAATAAATAATCAATAAATTCAGTAAATAAAATTTTTAAAATTTGCGGTATTGGTGTTTTATTCTATTTAAAATATCAATACCGCAAGTATTGGTATTTTGAATAGCCCGCGTAAATACTGCTTCAGCGAACCCTAAGCAGCCGCACTGTCAATGATCTTTTGAGGAAAAAATAAATATCAAACTCTAAAGTACCTTGCTCGTATTGGGTCTTCGAAGATTCCCGGCTGATGCGTAGTTTGGGAATTGCTCATAATCCATGGATGATTTAAGAAAAACACAGACTAAAATTCCGAATTTATCTACAACTTCCTGTTTAAAATATTGTAAAAGCATGCATTATTTTTGTGTTACTTAATTTAACTATCTTTATAAAATGTAATATTTATAGTAGGAATTAATTTATTTTCATAAATATAATTAAAATAAATACAATAATAATTGCATTAGCGAAGTGGTTTTTAATTAGACATTTTAGTACTTCCTGTTGTCAGAATGTCAGATGCAAACCGAGCGAGATACGAGAAGGTTGGGGGAAGTGGGGAAGTTGAATGAGAATCGAAAAGAGCGCATGCGTCTGACAATTTTCGGCCATATTGTTATGACGCATTCAAGATCATAGGTCTCCGCCAGTGACGAGTCTTCTCACAGTTGACGTGGCTACTACGTACTATCCCGTTCGCCCACTCCGGACGCAGCATAGACGGTGACGAGGAATACGTAACTGGTGAGTACTCGTACTGAAGACAAAACTTGCGATCTGTCACAGTCGCTGCTTTATGGGTTCCCAAAATATGGACAATACATGCAATGATAATACATTCGCAGCTTACTATACTTCCACTCTAACATCGAGAAATATGTTGCGTATTAAGTTATACGCAATAAGAAAACTACTAACCCAAACGACACGCCGATAGTTTCCTAATGTGAAGCCCGTGTCGACAGTGTACTAATCAAACCTGATAATAGTGAAAATATGTCTGAGCCATCTATATGAAGAGCAAAAATAAACAGCAAGTTGACCTTGAATATTTTAGGTGACCTTTGTGGGCATGGACGGAATGGTGGAGGAGAATGGAACATCTGGAGGAGCTGGTTCGGGAGACCCACTTTCAAGTGCAGGCCCAGCAACGTCAGGGTCGACTCCTCACGTCGTCGCTGTCACTAGCATTGTGCAGCTCACGCTTCCGGCGCAAGCTCCCTCAGCACAGGTGTTTGTTTATTATCATCATTAAAGTGCTTGATTATAAATTAAAACAATTTAAATCTGGCCAGCATCAGGTGCTTAATTGATAATGTTGTAATTATTTGAAAAATCAATTTCAGGTTCAATCTGTGATACAACCTAACCAACAATCAGTTATACAAACGGCTTCTAATATACAATCAGTACAGTTACCAAAAGGAAATGTTATTCTTGTCAGTAAACCAAATTCAGTGATACACACCACTCAGGCAACTTTGCAGACCCTACAGGTATTAATAATTAAGTACTCTTGTTAGTAAATATTTACATGGAGATCTTTGTCATATTTTTATTGATAATAAATAACATCTTTAGATCAAACCTGAACCAAACACATTGATGAGCACTCAAGGCCAATCATGCAGTGATGAAAGCTGTAGTGATGATGAGGGTCCAAAAAGAAAATACAGAGAAATGCTGACTAGACGCCCATCTTACAGAAAAATATTAAATGACCTTGGAGGAGCTGAAATAGCTGGTAAGAACAAAATAATGGTATTATTGCTTTACAAGTGTATTATCTAATAAGATTGTTAGAAATTGTTTATTATTAACTTATTATCTGTATTATTATTTTAATATAAAGATTGTGCTTATCGAAATACAAAACTTCATAGTTGAATTTACTATTGATGAATGTTTATTTTACTTTTTATAAACAACAAACTATGAAGGGCTATAAGTCCATCTTAACATAAATAATATCTTAATATGTTTTAAATAAGTCCTTTAATGTTACTGTGATTTTTTGTATTGTAAATAAGGTGATAATTTATACTCGAGTACATTTCTGAGAGTTTGAAATGAACTAAGACAAAAATGAGCTTAGGAAAAGAAATTGGACTACATAAAATACATTAATTATCCTACAGTATAAGAAATGATAATATTACAGAAAATCGCATGGGAACTAAACCAGGATGTGAGAATGAAGTGTCGCTGTCATCTCCTTTGTCTTTTGCACCAGGTCAGTTGAATGTGCTGCTGCTGACAGTATTTGTTTGTGTGCCACATGTGTCACTAACCTGTTCCATTCATATTTTTTGTACCCTGGTCAGCACATGGCTCATAACCACCAGCTTCAGCGACATCATCATTTTTTGTTTCATTCTATTTTTTTAACTTCGTTTCAGAAACAAAATTTGAAGTCTTTTTTGTATTTGTTATATTACTGTCCATTTTCTATTACTTTTTTAATATGCTAAAGTTGATGTTGGTAGTCGATTCACATACAAATCATCCTAAGAAGACAAAATTTGCACATAACATAATAAACACATAAATAATGAGAAAGAAAGCCATAAACTTTCAAGTTTGCTGTTTGATTCTAAAAGTAAACCAAATAAAAATTAAAACCTTATAATTTGTTATTATAATTTAGATTACGTCATCATTCAGTGAACTCAACTGGTATTTTGCACGCTGACGTAATCACGCGCGCATGTTGCGATGACGTCATCTTTCGATGTATTTTGGTTGATTTGTTTGCTGCAATAAACTTTATATATTCTCGTTTTAATGAAAATTTTATATACCATATAGTAAATTTACTATCCTCTACTTCAATAAACACAATACTTGGATGAACTTGGTATAAAATATATATATTTTTTTACTTAACAATTTTCCTCTTGAATTTGATAAAAGTTGTTAAATAACAATAATACAATAATGTAATATATTATTACAATAACACAACATCCCATGAGAATTTCTCAACTGATTTTGCCCATTTTTATTAAGATTTCATGAAAACAAGTTCTTGGAAAATCTCTGCCAATGGAAACTTGGGTGTTGTCTTAATCTTAATACCTACTTCCGTTTATTGACAATTCTACTGTCTTCATTAGAAAACTGCACCTGAGTGAGTGAAGCCAATAAATGAGCATAGTCATGATACCTATATTCACTTTGCAGAACATCTACAGTGAATCTGCATAATATTTATAATATTGTTATAATATGTGATTGGTAGTATTTGAAACTGTTGAGGGTGGTGTAGTCTATTCCCAATGAGCTACCCATACTTATTATATACAGAACCATGAAACGGTTGTGAAGGTTTTGGCGATCAATGAATAGAATTTCAGGCGGGTAATCCTCTGCGAGCATTTGCAGATGTAAGCAGTAATAGCGATTACAATATCCACATCACAATACTATGTCGGCGTAGGTATTCCTCATTAGAAAACTTTAACGCTACCGTTGTAGATCTTGTGCGTGGAGATTTTTTTCCGTTTCAAAGTTGGGATAGTTAATGGTGTCGATTCTAGCGTGATTCTCTAAACTTAAAACTAAATTTAACATCAGTCTCTCTTTTTCATTCTGTATAAAGAATGACAAGGATGCACTGTTGTCAAATTTAAGTTTAGCTTTAGAGAATCATGTCAGAATCGACATCATGATCTACTTAAATAGTTCTTGTTACTTGCAAATTACCGCAGCTGACTTTACGAGTAAGTCCATCAGATCCTCAATAATTACGATAAGAAAGCGTTTTATATCCTTTCTTATTAAGTAATTAATTAAAATGGTTTTTTACGATATGCGTGCTTCATTTTGCCAAATAATACTCTTGACCCTCTCAAGTAAAATAGTGAATGATAGTTTCCACACCAATAATTCTATACCTGTACACCTAGATTTGTAAGGAAACCATTAAAAGTTATTGTTACGCAGAAGAAGACGCGGCTCTCGCTAGTATGTATGTAATAAAATTAAAATTATCCTCCCACTCAACTAATATTACCTGGATCACAGAATTAAGAACTTCCAGGTTTTACCTTACCATTGCTAGGGTCCCTTTACGGTACAGAAAGAAACTTTCGAATCGTCTCAAAAAGTAATTACAATAATTTGCAATTTTTGTGTGTACCCTTGCTGACAACTGCATAAGTCAAATGTGTTGGACACTTTTTTTTAGAAGTTTGGTATTTTATCCTGGAAATTTACAAAATACAAAGTGAACCTAGTTTTTGAAAGTTTTATTAATTTGGTACTTTTTTATCAGATTGTCATCATGCATGTAATGTTGCTCTTTGGTTCTGACAAAGAAGCGAGTCCTTTGTCTCACTTTAAAAACTGTCAAAATTTTGATTACACGACCAGCATAGCATATGAGCACTGCAATATTATATTTATCACGCTCAATTTTCAAATTACTAGGAGTTTGACAGTTAGACGCGATAGAAAACGTGATAGTGTAAATTGTAGTGCTCATGCTACGAGAACAGAACCCTCAGGAAGGCGAGAAGAACTAGGAAATCTGCTCCAAATTCCGTTTCTTTTAATTTATTTGGTTTATTCAGTCACTTGCGGTCTTGTCGCTTAGTTATTCGACTAATTGAAACATTTATGAAATCAATATATTAATAAATATTTATTCTAATTGAACGTATATTCTCTCTTTTGAATCGTCTAAAGGTTTTTTCTCCTACCACTACCACGTTATTATAGATATTTTTTAGCTGCAGAGATAACGAGCTAAAAAGCTCCACAACATTATCAAATCATTATGTTCTAACAATGTCAATACAATCATGATTTATTTCATATAGAAAACCTGTTGGAATGATTGGAACAGTTCAAACCCAAGCATTTGTGTCTGTAATATTGCTCTATTATATACATGATTATCTTCATATAATCAGACACTTTGTACTAACCTTTTTTATTTTTAATAGTATCTTTGAATTTATTTATGGTTAACTTTTGAATATTTTTTTAGACTCTATTTTATAAGCGAACACAAAGACCTACAAATAAATTATTGATTTTGTGAAGCCTATACAGTAGCAGGTAGTTACTTTATTTTTGTTTCTTGTATTAAGTGCGTGAACATGACTGTTTTTAAGAAACAAGTCAATATTTTTTCTTACATTTAATATTTTTTCGTAAATGTATTGTGATGCGACTGTCATTATAAATTGATCAAGATTATAAATTGATGGAATAGCTCTCTTCTGCAGCACAAAAATAGTTTAAATGTCGGTTCACGTTAGTGTTCTTCAACGCTAACGGTCTCTCCAGTCAGAGTGCGGAAATTGCAAAATTTTTAGTAGATCACGCGATAGATATATTTCTAATTCAAGAAACGTTTTTGAAATTCGTGGCCCGCGCATTGCCAATTATAACTTAGTCCGGAACGATAGAGACGGCCACGGCGGTGGCACGATCATCTACCACAAGCGGTCTCTCCATGTTCCACGCTAGTCCCTCCAGTTCAGAAAGCTTTAGAAGTTTCCGTCTGTCGGCTAGGCATGACCGGGCATCGGTCACGATTCTGTCAGCTTACCTGTCCGCCAGCAAAAACCTCACACAACCAGACCTAGAGGCCTTTTTTGCTGTGGACTACGCCGTCATTATTGCCGGCGACCTCAATAGTGGAGTTGTAACACAACCAACCGTAACGGCAGGTTGCTTTCCAACTTCTCTGACACTATGGTATTTGACACCATATTGCCTTCAAACCCACCCCTTTCCCTTCCCAAGCAGGCTACACTGCTAATCCCCTAGACATGGCCTTACTAAAGCCCTTAGGCTCCATGCTGTTAAGGCGCGCATGAAGGAAATGCGGGATTCTAAATGGGACGAACTACTTGAAGATATCTCGCCATCACACCAAGCTTATTGGAAGCTGGGGAGATCCTTCAAGTCAGAGGTCGAATCCTCTATGCCTCCCCTGACCCAACCTGACCCATCGATCGCGTTTAACGACGTCGAAAAGGCCGAATGCCTAGTTGACAGCCTGGAGGCTCAGTACTCGGGGGACAGTGTAAATGCTACTCTCCCTATCCCCCACTAACACGTACAGTTAATCGACTCGGAAGTCGAAAAGTCGCCACCCTTGAACCGGTCATTGTAGATGAGATGCACTCGTTAATCCGTCAACTACGCCCGTGATGCGCCTCCGGGTCAGACGGTATCCCTAGTAAGGTCCTTAAAATCTTACCCGCCCAAGGATTTTGGTTTCATAATCCGGATTTTGAAACGGATCGTGAAATCACTTGAAAATCCGGATTTTTGAACTTCGAATAATCCGGCTTGCAATCCCTAGGCGTGGCGTCTGTCGCGTCGCGTTTAATCTTTAAAGAACCGATTTCTCAAATACAATATATCGGTCGCCCTCTGAGGTGCAGCGACGTCTTTAAGACCCATGCGTTCGGACGTAGCCACCGGTCTACTGGTATAATGTCGTACCAAAAAACGGCATAAGTTTAGTTGCTACATCACACATCCCGATTGCAGTAGTGCAATAACTTAGCACATTCATCGGCGGTGGTGTCCGTCCATCTCCAAGGTGGAACTTATGAAAGATCTTTAGGTGTATCCTCTTTGACACCATCGCACAGACTTTTTTATACTCACAAAAGGTAGCAAACTAGCGGCCCTTTTAGAAGCATAAATTTTTATTTCTCTTTAAATCACATTTAGTGATAGCAATCTTTTCTTTTTGTGATATCCCCAATTGTCTACGCCTGGCTCACTCTCTCTTGTCTGTGGTTCCAACCAAGCTGTACGTTGCTATATTTAATAAAGCTATAATTACTTAATATACACCGTTTTATTGAATATATATTACTTTTAATGAAATAAAATTATATTCATAGAAATGTATTTATTGGTCTTTAAAATGATGGTGATGGTCAACTAACCAATTGACCGATTGGTTTAATGGTGGGGGTCTGCCAGCCCTCGCTGCCACCTCTGAGATGCCCAGACGGAACACTAGCTCATAAGCCACAGGAGAAAGCCGATTTACTGGCAAAACTCTTTGCGGCTAACTCAATGCATTGCCACCATCATTACCTCATAGTGGCACAACTATTCCTGATATTAAAATCAGGTAGCGTGAGTTTCGCGCCAAATTGCAATCACTCGATGTCCGGAAAGCTAGTGGGCCTGATAGCATCCCAGCAGTTGCACTCACAAAATGTGTAGCAGAGTAGTCTCCTGTGCTCACGCGCTTGTACCAAAGCTCGTATTCTTTGGAGCGTGTGCCGGAGACTTGGAGAGATGCCAACGTGCAACCAGTGCCCAAAAAGGGGGATCACTCAGACCCGGCCAACCACCAATGCCAATAGCACCTCAGTATTATGTTAAGTCCTAGAAAAGGTCCTTAACCATCTGACCCGCTACCTAGAAGATCACTCTCTGATATATGATTGTCAGTATAGTTTTAGACTGAAACGATCGACGGGTGATCTTCTAGCGTACTTGACTCATATCTGGGGTGAGGCTATCGACAAGCGTGGCGAGTCATTGGCTATCAGCCTTGACATTGTCAAGGCTTTCGGCAGGGTCTGGCACAAAAACCTTCTCTCCAAGCTTCCGACATACGGTCTGCTGGCTCAGTTCTGTTCCTGGGTAGCTGACTTCCTACATGAGTGTAGAATTTGTGTCCATTTCGGATGGTAGCAGGTCGCGGTTCATGTCAGTGAATGCCGGCGTTCCTCAGGGCTCCGACCTATCCCCCACTCTCTTTCTGCTGCATATCAATGACTTATTTCCTCTTGGGAATATTCATTGCTATGCAGACGATAGTACAGTGCAGCGGGGTATCTCGGACAAGCAGTGGCGGGACAGGTGGTCCAGCCTACCAAACCTAGCCAAACAAGGAGAAACGGGGGAATCAATGGAGCTAGAGAGCAGTATCACCATGCTTGGTTTGGAAATTCGCTCTGGCTTAAATCCAAAGAATTACATCGAAAGCATATAAAAACGGCATCACGCGTACTCGGAGTCCCTGAACAGGGTGCGGCGTTTTTTAACGCCCGAGCAACTGTGTTTGTTGTATAAGACGCAGGTGCGGTCTTGCGTGGAATATTGCTCGCACCTCTGGGATGGCTGCGCCAAGTACTTGCTCAATGCTTTGGATAGGTTACAGCGGCGCGCGATCCGCATCATAGGCGATGAGGAGGTGACTAAACACCTCGATCGACACCACCTCTTCAATTACGCCGTGACGTGGCGTCACTAAGCGCATTCTATCGTCTGTACCACGGCGAGTGTTGTGAGGAGTTATTCTCTATTATTCCACACTCCCTTTCCTTCAGAGGACCACGCGCGCTGGTCTACGTTGTCACCATCTAACTGTGGCCACAATTCCAACGCGTACAAAGACATTTGGTAACTCTTTTCTTTGTCGCACTATTCGTAAATAGCATGCTGTGTGAGTGAGGGTGGCTGGTGTGGCAGGTAGAACTGCTGTACCAGCTATCTTCACGTTTGGACTTCACCGTCACTTAACATCAGGTGGGGCGGACTCATTTGTCGGACCTATCTATAGGGTTTTTTCTCACTTTTTCGCAAAATGGCGGGACTATTTCATTAATCACATCACGGATTTTAGTTTTAAGGCAGCAATCGATTCGATTGGCCCCGTATACACACTGTCCTTAACATAACCCCACAAAAAATAATCTAGTGGTGTTAAATCACATGATCTGGCTGGCCACTTAACACCTGAATTTAGTGAAATTATGCAATCGGGAAATTAGGTTTGCAATAAATTGATCGTTTCAATAGCTGTGTGACATGTGGCGCTGTCCTATTGAAACCACATATCGGTGATATCAACGTCATCAATAGAAGGTCAAAATTCGCCATTTGGTGGTTCTGGATAACCCCAATTGTTGAGAACGTCGCGGAATTGACAAATTTGGATTTCCTCAACACTGTGGCTCACGGCTGCGATGCTGTCAGTTGAACGACCCGGTCGAACACGCGTTGGTGTTGGCACATTTTGCATCGAGCCTGTCGACTCGAATTTAACGACTAATTCTTAATAGCGGTCTCAGAAGGACGAATATGTTGTCCGAAAATATCACGAATTTGACAAAATCTAACTGTAACAGAACCACTATTTTCATATGGATTTTAATTATTTTAATTCGATTTTCAAGCGAAATTGAATTAGTTGTAAGAATTGCCAATGTATCTACTACGAATACGTCAAAAAACTAAATGTGAAAACGATCAAATTGTTGGTGTAGCCACAATTGAAAAACAAAGTTCTTGTTGAACAACCCTATATAAAAAAAATGCAATTACCACACCCTAAGTACGACTAGCGACCTCCACCTCCACGATCGAATTGACAGGACGTCTAGTCGCGAAATAATATTGAATTATAAAAAAAAACTACATAACTATAAAAGTTGTATTTATTTTATTCATAGAAACATTTCTCATCTTTCATTGCCTTATTTTCCGCTTGAGGCACCAGAAAACTTATATTTTTTTTTACTTTGTTCTGGGACTTACCTGTTTATAATAATATAGTTGGTATTGTATTGTGCGTTATCAATTTTAATAACAGTATTCTTTCACTGGATATGCTTATTTATTATAGATAAATTATAAAATACCTAAATAATGAGATGCATGTTCTGAATAAAGAGCCATCACAGACTGCGGACTACCTACCAGCTGTCTAACCAGGCTCTTGAACACTTAAAAAAGTAAACAAGTTACCCTTATTATAAAGATTCCGCGCCGGCCGACAGATAGGATTTGAAGGGCTGCACGATTGCCTTCAAATTAATTTGTCGGTAAACTGTCAGGCGACTCATAGTTCAGTATGTCACTCTTTTACAGAATTAGTCACTTGCCGAGTGGTTTAAGGATTGAAACTGCCGCTTATTATCCGTTCTCAGTTTTACCGCGCAGTTATGTGATTGACCTCTCCATAAGCCGTTTAACTACTAACAAATCGTTCGGCCGTTGTCGGCTGTCGGGGCACTCACCAATCCGACCATTTAGTTGGATCAGTGTTCAGTCAGCAGTCTGACTCCGTTTTTACTATCAGCCGATAGAAAGTCCGCAAGGGCCCTAATAGGCTATTTTACTTAGCACAACTGGTTGATGTTCTTTTCTTGAATCCACATCACGGAATGAATGTAGGGGAGGGTGGGCAAGACGGGGAGTTAAGCTTCAAAGCATAATAATAATAATAAATCAGGGCCTTGTATAGTTTTATAAACATTTTTATTATTAATTAATATCCTTGGTAATCAGACTATCAAATAGCAACTTATTAGACTCCTCTGGTTCTTTCCTTGACATTACCTCTTTTTACGCTAATAAGGTGAGAAAGTTATAATCACCATTGAATCACTCTTCTCCAGAACTTCTTCTATTCAATTTCCGCTTAAAGCGTTACTTTTGTGATTTCTCTCCATCCTTAAACAAACGAAATAAAAATCAATAATAGAAAATGTCCTATTTGGTAAGATGCAGAAAATGTTTCTTAAAGTAACCCATCATGCCCTTTGTGCGTTTCGAAATTTAAAATTAAATAAATTAATAAATAACGATCTCATTATGAAACTAATTCTTACCTCTGGTAAAATAACATAAGTGAAACTTAAAACGCTGACTTTATTGCACTTTTAACAGCTATAAAAATTATATGTAATCAGAAAATGGATATCAATCAAAATTACTTTTTTCACTCGTAAGAATGGCATCTGTCATGCATAGCACAACACCCCGTCTTACCCTGCTCTCCCCTACTAAAGGTATCACAGTTTGTAGTTATATACACCAGTCTGCTAAAAAAAAATATATGTATACAAGCACAATCTTTGTATTGATTTTATCTTCAATCTTCGTTTTGAATTTTCTTTATTTCATTTCCATATTTCTTATAAATCTGAGTACAACTATACGATAACAATGAATTTAAGGATACTTTTTAGATGGGATGGTCTAATACTACATACAATAAGAAGTTTGTTTTTTCTAGTTATTCCAGCGGGAGCGTTACAAACAGAGGGTGGTCTTCACACACTAGCTGTGTCAGGGGCAGGTAGTGGAGGCGCCATCGTTCAGTACGCTACAAATCAAGAAGCACAATTTTATGTGCCGGGTGAGCATATCATTTTTTTATTTATATTAAAAGCCATATAGGCTAAATATACTGTGTTCCGTCAGAGAAACGAATGAATGGTGCTATGTTTGTAGGTCCTATGCTAGAAGATCAAACGCGTAAACGCGAATTACGATTGTTGAAGAATAGAGAAGCAGCGCGAGAATGTCGACGTAAGAAAAAGGAATACATCAAATGCCTCGAGAATAGAGTAGCCGTACTCGAAAATCAGAACAAGGCACTAATAGAGGAACTAAAATCTCTTAAAGAACTGTATTGTCAGCAAAAAACAGAATGAGGCCCAGCCGGCTAACCGGGTGTGCCAGTGCCCCTCCGGTGAGAACCTTAAAGCATTCACCACCTACAGATGTGCTCATGAGCTACTTTCGAAATAGTTCTATAGGTTTGCTCGATTCTGTATTGCGATCATCACTTTAGACTGAGGTGCTCTTGGTTTGAGATGACAAATTAGCTAGATAGTCTAAGACTTCTACATGAGATCAATTAAAACTGGGTTATCGTGAAGTATTGTTAGTTTATTTGATATAACGTTGAATTGTTAATATGTTTTATAATTTTCTGTTATTGTTTTTAAAAACGGTTTGATTTTTTTATATACTGAATTTTAAAATGTAGATAATTGTACTTCTTTACAATGGGATCTTTTCAAGTGGTTTGCCTCTATATATATGGACTAAGTATATAGGGTTTACATATACCATTCCAAAATGTCATCCATATTTCTAAGGCAGTGTTATAGCTATTCAAGTCCAACCTGCGTGCCATTCTCTGATTTGGTAATCTATTTGATACACTTAAGAAATATCTGCAATCATTCTTACCTATATTTTCAATAAAATATTGTAAATAATTTGATTATCTCTCCCATAAATCGTTCTAACTATACAACTATATTTTTTATAAACCATAGAGTGCGGGAGTTTATATATCACGTCATTTTATCTGTGATGAAAGATATTGAAAATGACCTTTATGTATACAGTTCTTTTACGGTGACGCATTGTTAGTTATTTCCGACACCAACAGCAGGGTGTTATTAATGGATAAGCCAAAGTTAATATTTAGTTGTTTTGTGCAATAGGTTATTGCAATGTACAGTTAAAACTATGTTTGTCTGTCTTTAATGTAATAGAATGAGATAATATGTATATGTACATTGTATATAATAAAAGATAGTGTTGTAAAATGTATTTATAAAAAGATCCAATGTATATAATGAAATATTATGGAAAGTAAGAAATGGTTGATATTGCATATCACACCTTTGAATTTTTTCATTTTATAATGTTGTGATAATAATTGGAACATAAACATTATGTTTAGCACAGCCAATTTTTAGTGAACAGAGTTATGTATCATACAGTATGACTATAATTCCTGAAATGGGTAATTTAGTTGACTACCAGAGTAAACTTCAGATTTACAATATTTGTTTTGCCATGATTGAAGTGAGAAATTTCGCATGTCAAAATTTAATACCCTCAAGTATATTTTTTTAAGTTAAATAATAAACATTTGACTATTAATAAATCAAAAGTACATCATTCATGGCAAATAATTTTAAGATTTATTATTAGACATTGTCGAAAGTGCCTTTAAATTTAGAATGAATAAAGTTTATACCAAGATAGCTTTTTATGTTAACTTAATGCTATTTATAAATAATAATATTAACTGTTTCATGTAAATTGTTGTCTTATTTTATGATTCCATTCGGTTTGCGCCGAAATCAAAGCAAACAAAATAATCAGGGCACCAGTATCATACGAAAATTTTACTATATTATATTATTACTAAATATATTATGTAGGTATATGTTCCATATATAATTTTTCTCCAGTACTCATTGTTTGTAAATAAACTCAGATTGGTGACAAATGTTAGCATCAATGGGAACAACGTCATCGACATTCATCACCCTTGAACGGTTATTGCTGCGATGGTTAATTTTTTGCCCGAAGGAGAACCCACAATTTATTGAAGCTTTTTGCAATCCACAGAGAAGTAGAGATTCCTACTGTTATATCGTAACTTATAGTGAAATTACACAATCAACTATTTTTAGATTCCTTAGACATAGTATTACCCCAAAAATACGTAACATATAGTTCTTACAGGGGACATAAATATTGGCACTTTGGATAATAATAATGATTCCTTGGAGATTATTGGATCTCATAGCTTGTATAATGTTATCGACACCCAGACACACGGGCTTAGACCACTTTATGTGTAAAGTATCTGCTTAACAACAATGTCTAGTACTCACAACTGACATAACTGACCACTATCCCATATTGTTAAGTATTTCTAATATCTACAAGAACTAAAATAGATTATGGTACTTTGGAGAAATCTTTTTAAACAAAGGACTGGAAACCATTTCTATCCATTGAAGATCCCAACATAGCTGCAATAACATTAACTGAAACTCTACAAGAGCTTATTATACGTCACACATATCGCTCCTTCAATGCAAAAGGGCCACAATTCAAAAAATGAGTTTTTACAGGACGGCCAAAACAAAATTTTGAAAACGTTTTTTGTTAATTTTTGTATTCTATTTTGCGATAATATATACATGTTATATATCATTAGAATCGTATTTTTATACTGCATTAATGAGTACTAAACAATTTATATTAACTATAATATATAGTGAGAAATTTGCACAAGAGGCCCTTTTGCATTAAAAATCTGACCAGAAATCTAGAAAAAAAATACAAAAATTAATACACTTTTTAATCAAATAATACTTTCTTATTTTTTTCATAAAAGTAAAAATAATAACTTTCTCAATTATAATCAGAGTAACACATTCGTCATATCGATCAGGTTATGAACAAAATGTTATCTGTCGTAAAAAAAACACAAATTTTATATTCTTTTGAAAGAAAGTTCTTTAAAATCATATTACTGAAGCTAAAATAAGTCTTTTAATAAAAAAATGTCCAAACTATATAACCATATCAAAATTAAACGTTTCTAAAAATTATTTTTTCTTTATTGAATGAGATCCATTTAAGTTAATTATTAAAGCAAGTAATAATCATTAAAAGAAAGAAGTAAATAACTCGTGCAAAACACCCTGAAGTGAAGAATTATATTCCTCTACTAGCTTTTGCCCGCGACTTCGTCCGCGTTTTCGTTTTTCGTAAAAAAGTAGCTTAGGTCCTTCCTCAGGGTTCAGTGGTTTTGATGTGACAGACAGATTAACTTTCGTATTTTAGTACATTATTATTATTATTATTATTGACAAAATGTCAATCCAGATAATGTGTGCCGTTCGCGGTCAGCTGTGAGACTTAATTCCCTCTCAGTGTAGGTTTCGGACTCGCGAGATTATGTATGCCGTTCGCGGTCAGTTGTGAGACGTAATTCTCGTTGTGCAGCAGTTTCAGCTTCTCGGGATAACGTATGTTGTTCTCGGTCAATGGTACGCTTTTGCTCTCGTTGAGAAGATCTTTGAGACGTCCGTGATGTAGCTCATCTTGCTCTTTTAGCTGCTAATCGCATCTCTCTCTCTGGAGAGTTTTCATTGGCTCGAAAAGTTGAGGCTCTAACTCTCATAGAGTTTAACCGATTTGCTCTTTCCTCTGCCGATTCTTGAGATCGCGTAATTCTCATTCTCTTAGCTTTACTCGAAGTTCGAGATAAAGATAATGGTTTTTTAGGTGGCATTGTGTAATAATCAACGGTAACGAAAAGGCTGTCAGTTACCTAACAAAATTACCTACGTTAGAGGTCCTAACTTTAGCTACCTTACACTTAAAATCTTAATGACTATTTACACTAAAATATTCTAATAGAATTATACCCAGAAATATATACAACTCACAACAAAAAAGGAATGAAAATAAAGCTGAAACGCCTGTGCAATACTATCTACCTATATCTACTTCACTTAAAAATAAATACTTATAACTACTTTAATTAATAAAAGTACCTATGCTTAATAATTTGTAATTTGAACGAATATTTAAACACTACCAATACAACTAATACGTGGTCCTAACTTTAGCTACCTTACACTTGAAATCTAAGTGACTATTTAAACTAAAATATTCTTATAGAATTATAACCAAAAATATATACAACTCACAACAAAAAGGAAATGAAAATAAAGCTGAAACGCCTGTGCAATACTATATACCTATACCTACTTCACTTAAAAATAAATACTTATAACTAATTTAATAAGAAAAGTACCTACGCCTAATAATTTTTAATTTGAACGAATATTTAAACACTACCAAAACAACTAATACCTATTTTACAAAATAACAACAAAATAAATTCAAATAAACTATTTAAAGACTAAAAGTCGCGCTGTTAAGCACGGTTTCTCAATATCAATTATTGTCTGTCAATAAGGTCGAACGCTCTAAACGCACACCGCCGCCGCGACCCGGCAACCGTTACACAAAAATAATCCTTATAGCATGATTCAGTATTCACGTGCGACGGCGCGATGGCTTATTTCATGTATAAGTTTGGTGTTTCTATACCGATTTCTATAATTCTTTTTTTCTTGAATAGGTAATAATGTTAACTTTTTTAAATTAGGGATGAGTGAGAGTATTATAAACGTAAGAGTAAACAAATATAATCAGAATGCTCCGAACTGCTAAGCTATCAGGAGTTACACGTGTTATTGTGAGTCAACCATAAAAGATAGACATATACTGTTGCGGAATATTTTTTAGATAATTTTATGTAGAATATTTCCGTCATACTTGATTTCTATGTAACTTTAACCATTAAGGCTGCACACGCGACGGAAGCTTAAAAAATGGAGTTCCCGTTTCCCAACATTTCCCTTCACTACTCTACTCCTATTGATTGTACCGTGATGAAAAGTATACTATAACCTGCCCAGGAGTATGAAGAATAATTGTACCAAGTTTCGTTAAAATCCGTCGAGTAGTTTTTGTTTCTATAAGGAACATACACACAGACAGACAGACAGACAGACAGACAAAAATTTTACTGATTGCATTTTTGGCATCAGTATCGATCACTAATCACCCCCTGGTAGTTATTTTGAAAATATATTTCATGTACAGAATTGACCTCTCTACAGATTTATTATAAGTATAGATAAGCGCGGTTTCTCAATATCAATTATTGTCTGTCAATAAGGTCGAACGCTCTGAACGCATCAACAGCCAAATATTGAATGAAGCTGCCTATGGCCTTAGGGGCCTTACAGGCTTCATCTGATGCGATCAAACCCCTGAGAAGGGGATGATGCAGCGCTGCCTTAGTAAATACTACTGCATAGTGCGCTTAGAGGACGGATGCACCCTGATGTGCATCCGTATCGGTTTGGGACTGAGCGACTGAAGGTCTCTCAGGATCGGGGGGCTCGCTTTCGGACCTCCCGCCTTTTTATACCCTACCGCCGCCGCGACCCGTGTCGAGCGCGGCAACCGTTACACAAAAATAATCCTTATAGCATGATTCAGTATTCACGTGCGACGGCGCGATGGCTTATTTCATGTATAAGTTTGGTGTTTCTATACCGATTT